CTTCTTTGTCAAAGAGGCTACATTTATGGCGCCGATTGTAGTCAAGTCTGGGCTGCAAGGTCGCGCAGATGTTGTGACACAGCTGTGCCCACTCCGACAAACCTATGAGAAAACAAGTGTACGGTCTGAAGTTCGTGTTTTTTGCCTCCAGGATGATAGGTGGCAACTGTCTTTCAAAGCAACCATTCACGTCGAGTATGAGGAGCCGCATCCGGACGAGATCGACGCAGGACGTGAATCTCACGCAGATGCAGAGAGACATTTCGAGCGCTGGAGGAAGTCAGATGAAGCATGTAAGAAAGCGATCCCCAAGTCCGACTTTTACAAATGGGCGGCTGGGGCTGGCATCCAATATGGTGAGGCGTTCCAGCTCGCTGACAATGTCCGCTGGGATGGCGACCTGCTTGGAGTCTCGGAAGTGCGTATTGACGCTACTGAGCATGAGTATCAGGGCCTCGTACACCCCACTGTTTTTGATGCGGTGTGCCAGACGGTTTTTGCTGCGCCTTCAAGAGGAGCGACGGCTACATTTCCAACCCTTGTCCCACACAAAATGCACGACGCTTGGATTTCAGCAACAGCCTGGCAACAGCCCCAGTCGTCGACGATACGCACTGCTGCCGCGTCTAGACGGAAGAAGGGCGTGATAGGTATGGACTGCGAGTTGACAGCCGTTGCTGAGGATGGGTCACCATTACTCCACATTCCAAAATTTGAAATGCTCCCCGTGCTAACAAAAGACGAAGATGAGGGCGCCGAGAGAAGCCTCCTTCACGGAATTGAATGGAAGCCCCTCTTATCTTTGCTTACACCTACACAGCTTCAGGAACTATGCTCTATCAAAGATCCGACCAGGGACGACGAGGAACGCGGTCGTTACATGCAACAGCTCGATGACACGCTCAAGGCCATCCTCCAGTATCACTTGCCAGAGATTCGGGCAATTGACTGGTCGCTTGTGCCACCACACTTTAAGAAGTATGTCTCATGGCTGGAACGCTATTTGAAAGCTTCGCCTCCCAGTCATCCGCGCAGTTTTGAAATTCTCGATAGGGAGATCCAGCAACTGCAGAACAACAACCAGCAACGAAGGATCACAACCGAGGTTGCGCGCAACCTTCCAGCCATCATAACGGGCGAGATTGATCCGCTAAACTTCCTCTTCTCCACAGGTCTGGCTTCGAATTTGTACAGTGACATCTTCGCCGACCTCTGCAATCAACATTTCCAGACGTACATGGACCTGCTTTCACATCAGACACCTACCATGCGGATTCTAGAGGTCGGGGCCGGCACTGGAGGATTCTCTTCGCACATTCTTTCGGCACTTAGGCGCCGTGAGGAGGCCACTGGTGGAATATCATTCCTAGAGTACAACTACACGGACATTTCACCCTCATTCTTCGAAAATGCTAAACAAATGTTTGCATACTTCGGAGAGAGAATAAAATTCCAAGCACTAGATATAGAGTCAGAACTACAATCTCAAGGTTGTAGCGAAGGCAAGTACGATGTCATATTTGCCGGGGCGGTCCTACATGCCACATGCAGTCTGTCGCATACTTTACATAATCTGCGCAGAGCATTGAAACCAGGCGGAAAACTGGTGTTTATGGAGCCAACCCGGCCAGATCTACTCCTTGACGGTGTCGCCTTTGGAGTGCTGCCTGGTTGGTGGCTTGGAGTCGAAGAATCTCGCGCTGATGGGCCGTTATTGACAGTACCACAGTGGGACCAGATCCTTCGCGAGAATGGCTTCTCAGGTAATGATCTGGTACTGAAAGACTATGAGATGGAGAGTGTACATGCGTACAGTATTATTGCGTCTACTGTGTGCGAGGAATCCGTAGCGCTCAGAAGGGAAGAACTGTCCGTGATTTACGTTGTTGAAGAGGGAAACGAAAGGCAACGAGAAATTGCAAGCGCTTTGGTTGCTAGAGAACCTAGTCTGCAAGGAGCTTCTGTGACATTCGCAGAGCTAAAGGATGACAAGAAAGCAAAAGCCAACTACGTGGTATTTTTGGTCGAGATTGAGAGCGCGCTGATGACAAATATTGATGCAGCTGCTTTTAGCATCCTGAAGAGGCGGATATTGGAATGGAAGAACTTGCTCTGGGTAACAGCTCCTTCAATGTCGCCGGCTGCGGCGCCCCATGAAGGTCTGAAGGATGGCTTCCTGCGTGCGCTGCGATCGGAGTCTGAGCATAAAGGCCTTGTGTCGCTGACGCTTGAGACTTTGCAGAATGCTGCAGACCACATCACCCGAGTGTTCAGGTCCGTCTTCTTAGATCATGCGCCAGAACTGGAGTATTCCGTGCGAGACGATCAAATTGTCACCCCGCGGCTGGTTGCTGAGACGAGCCTCAACACCAGTCTGAACGCCGCTCTGCATCCGCAGCCGAAAACATCTTCCTGGCTTCCAGGGCCACCGCTTAAGCTTGATGTGCTTCACCATGGCTCACTAGAGACACTGCATTTCACTGAAGACACTCACTATTGCGACCCTCTAAAGCCTGACGACATTGAAATCGAGGCCAAAGCCTGGGATCTAAACTTTCGCGATGTGTTTATTGCACTCGGTCGACTGGAAGAAGAAACTTTCGGTGATTGCGCAGGGGTTGTGACCCGCGTGGGCTCAGATGTGCACGACTTTAAGAAAGGTGACAGAGTTGTCATGATGGGCCCAGGCGTCATGAAAACGTATCCTCGGACTCGGGAGTGGTGCACCAAAATACCCGACTCCATGTCCTTCGAGGAGGCCGCGTCGGTGCTCAATCCTGGGATTTGTGCGTATTACTCGCTGATTGAAGTGGCTCGGCTGCAGAAAGGCGAGAAGGTCCTCATCCACGCCGCCGCAGGGGGCACAGGCCAGATGGCCGTAATGGTGGCGCAGATGGTGGGCGCGGAGGTGTTCTGTACTGTGGGCTATAAAGAAAAGAAAGAGCTGCTGATGAGTCAATTTGGTATCCCAGAAGATCATATCTTCTATAGCCGGAATACCAGTTTCAAAAAAGGCATAATGCGTGTAACAGACGGATATGGTGTAGATGTTATTCTAAACTCGATAGTAGGAGAAGGTCTGCGTGCCAGCTTCGAATGCGTCGCACCGTACGGTCGATTCGTCGAGCTCGGCAAAGCGGACATCAAGAGCAAGGCACAGTTGCCGATGGAGTGCTTCTTGAACAATGTCACCTTCACGGCAATCGATATAGTGCACCTGGCATTCAATCGTCCGCAGATAGGACGGAGGATACTGCAGGCGGTGATGGAGCTGGCGGGAAGGGGAATAATTCAAAGTCCGTGCCCGTTGCATGTCTTTGGTGTAGACAAGACGGAGGAGGCCTTTCGGTATTTTCAGAGTGGCCGAAACACAGGTCGAACCGTCATCACAGTCCAGCCTGGTGCTGTTGTGCCTGTAAGTCAGCTCTTTTACCGGGAAGCTCTGCTAATATTCTATAGAAACGGCTTCTACAGCGCAAGACGTGGGCTTTCGACCCGAATGCGACGTATTTGATTGCAGGCGGAATGGGAGGGATCGGCCGCGCCATGATGAAGTGGATGGCGTCCCGTGGCGCGAAGTATATCATTGTTCCGTCGAGATCTTCTCGATCCGCAGCTACCATGCTGGCAGCCATGGAGACGGTCGAACAGCTCAGCAAGCAAGGTGTCCAGATCAAGACGCCCCGCTGCGACGTTTCATCCGCCACCTCACTCCGTGCCGTCCTCGACGAATGCGCCAAAACAATGCCGCCTGTCCGGGGCTGCATAAATGCTGCGATGGTGCTTCAAGACTCAGTATTCGACAACATGACGCATGCCCAGTGGAAGCAGACCATCGACTCCAAGGTGGCCACGTCTTGGAATCTCCATACGCATCTGTCTACTAATCTCGACTTCTTTATCATGCTCGCCTCGGTTGCAGGTATCGTAGGCAGTCCTGGCCAGTCCAATTATGCTGCTGGTTGCACATTTCAAGATGCCCTCTGTCGGCGGCGTGTCCAGCAGGGCCAGAAGGCCATCTCAATAGACTTGGGTGTCATGCGCACTATCGGCATCGTTGCCGAGACTGGGCGGTTGCAAAAGAACTTCGGCGAGTCGCGGGCCATGATTAAGATTGAAGAGGCGGAATTCCTCGCGTTGCTGGATCTGTATTGCGATCCTGAGCTGCCAACGTTGACGCCGGATAAGAGCCAGATCGTTATGGGCGTCGTCACGCCGGCAGACATGATTGCGAAAGGCGAGGAACTGGCTGATCAGCTTCACCGGCCTCTGTTTGCAAATTTTGCTCAGCCAAAAGATATCACCCAGTCCACTGGTTCAGCGACCGTCGTCAACTTTGCGGCCTTGTTCGCACAGGCGGCAGGCCAGGAGCAAAGGACTAGCATCGTGGTTGAAGCTCTGGCGCACAAGCTCGCGCGGGCGTTGTCCATATCCCCAGATGACGTGGATTCAGACAAGCCACTTCATATCTTCGGCGTGGACAGCCTCGTTGCCATCGAATTGAGGAATTGGATCGGAAAGGAGTTTGCGGCCGAGGTAGCAGTCTTTGACATAATGGGTTCGCCCTCTGTCGTCGCGCTCGGCGACCTTATCGCCAAAGTAAGCAAGATGTCAACTAAGTAAATTGCTGTAGGATGTTTCTGGAGTGTGAGGGAGTAGAGAATAAGTGCCTAATCCGATAAGAGCCATTCAGCGACCAAGAGCAGAGAAATAGCGTTCTTATATTGACGAAGAGGGCGACCTAAGTAGCCCTCTAATCATAATACACATTTTCTGCCTAGATTCAAATATGCCTATCAATAGAATTTGACTTCTGTCCTAATGGAAAGATAGATCACATCGAAAAGTTAGGATCCTCATGGGGCTTCTAGTCATAATTGCGCTAGGCAGATGACTTAGCGAAAATCCTGAAAGCTTCTTAGCACGCTAGCTAAATACTAAAGCTCGCAGCAAATGTGTTAGAAAAGCCCTTAGAATGAGAGAAATGAACAAAAAGAAAATGAACCCTAGGCGATTTGAACGCCTAACCTTCAGGACACTCCAAGAAACTGGAATCTGACGCGCTACCGTTGCGCCAAGGGTCCGACTTTTCTCTGATTGGCTTAGATGGTTTCTATAATTTTAATACATATAGAGCGTAATAAAAGTAGGAAAATTCCATTGTTTGCATGGGGAATTGTGGCCATGAAGGTTGGGAGGCTTGGCCGGATATATCGCACGATTCGGCCCGACGGAGATTCCGCGGCAACACACCTCTAGGTCCATGCCTAATATAGCACACGTTATACATACTCAGGCGTACATCTCGTGATATCAGACAGCGCATTCCTATTTCCTATTGAGTTCCGTCTCGTTTCGTCGCATCCCGCGCAATCCGTCCACCTCCCTCCAATTCCAACATGAAGTTCCGCGCTTGGCCTCGGGCTCCGCGGTCCCGAGCTTTTCCGCCGCTACTCTCCGGCTAATGGAACATCAAAAGTGCCTCCATCCAAGTTGCACAACATGACCATCTAGCATCGTCTCTCTTTTTTTCACCTTTCGGCGGAAAGATTTTGGGGATAATAGAGATAAGTGGAGGGCATGAGGCGTCCGGGATGGCTGTTGTCGTTGACGCAGCATGGCGAGAAGCCCCCTTATTTATTGAAATGTCGGAGCTCAGAGGGATTTATTATCGGGACTGTTGCGCTGGCTGTCTTCACTGTATGTAAATTATTCCAATTACTTTTTATTTCTCTTAAATGTGATGCAATGAGAGTTATGACTGATGGTATGAAAGGATATGTTTCTGTACGGGGTCATTGTGCCCGTTGTCCCGTTTGCGTTGGAGGAAAGGAGCCATGTCGAGCATGATAGAGGTGCGTATCTGATAGACAGTATTGCTCTATTGTCTTAATTAAATTGTAGTTCAATATTGGGTATCTGTACTTGTCGCAGTTTATGGCGCTGCGCTGCTCGTGTTCTCGCCGATATGTGGATGGCTTGCTGACAACTCCTCCTCACGACGCTCCCCGCTCCTTCTAGGCCTTCTAGCACTACTCGGAGCTACTATTATGCTAAATGTCGGAAATCAGATTGGTATCTGGATCGTCGCACGTATTCTTCAGGGGGCGTCTGCAGCCGTTGTGTAGGTTCATCTACAAACCCCACACCAGAGCACTTACTGACGTGATGTAGATGGGTTGTAGGTTTGGCCCTTTTAGCGGACACAATACCCCAAGAGCAACTCGGCCAAGCCATGGGGTACGTGAGTCTCGGAATGTCACTAGGTATCCTAATTGCGCCGCTACTTGGGGGTGTTGTTTTTGAGCACGGAGGTTATGATGCTGTATTCGGCATGGCATATGCATTGGTTGGGGTTGACATAATTCTACGTCTACTACTTGTTGAAAAGAAGGTTGCAGCAAGATGGGATCCTAGCATGGCTGGTCGTGCCACTGAATCGACAGACACTTCCTTTCACGGCCAGAGTGCCCAGGAAGAATCTTCTCATCAACCTAGTCAGCTCGAGTCTAAGGCGAAGATTCGCACAGAAACAAGAGAACCAGATCTAGAAAAGGCCGTGGAAAATATATCCCCGTCTACTGAGACTTCCACCAATCCCGAATCGTCCGCTTCTCCCATCGCCCCATACACCCGTCGACGTGACCGCCTACCGCCCATATTTTCCCTCCTTTGCTCACGCCGACTCTTAGCCGCGCTATTCGGCTCCCTCATCCAGGCCGCAATTTTAACGTCCTTCGACTCTGTCCTGACAATCCACGCCGCCGAAGTCTTTAACTTCCGTTCCACCGCCGCCGCGCTTCTCTTCCTCGCTCTCGTCATTCCAACCTTCTTTGCCCCCCTGGGCGGTCTACTAAGCGATAAATACGGTGGCCGATACTTCGCTGCCGGTGGCTTCCTCCTTTCGTGTCCGCCTTTCATATGCTTGCGGTTCATCCAGGAGAACAGTGTCAGTGATAAGGTTCTGTTATGCGCGCTCCTTGCGCTGATTGGATTCTTCCTGTCTTTTACGTTCCCGCCATTCATGGCGGAAATATCTCGTGTAGTCGAGGCGAAAGAGAAAAGCATACAAGCGAACGGCAGACCCGGGTTTGGACCCGGCGGCGCGTATGCCCAAGCCTACGCGCTGTTCAACGTAGCGTTTGCAGGCGGGTGTATGGTTGGGCCACTACTGGCAGGCTTTATAGTGCAGGAGAGAGGGTGGTCGACGATGACGTGGGTTATGGGTTTGCTGGATGGTGTTACGGCGATACCGAGTTTCCTTTATCTTGGCGGTTGGGTTTTTGGGAAACCATGACCTGGAATATAGCCAAAGGAGTATCTTTTTATCATCAGAGGACATGCTGTCCTTATGGGATGGCGATATCAGCCACGTTTTTATTAATTACATCTGAGGATGTCTCTTCTATGAGTACAACTTGTCTTCCAGCCCATACAAGTTCGAACACGCCTACCACTCAGTATTAGAGAACATTTTGGGGGCCAGCCGAGTGCCAAGCCAGTTTACCGGAATATCCCCCAGTATATTTGACTTAATCCAATTGAATAAGGTTGAAAGAATGATTGGAATCTAAAGCAAAGAAACTGAAAGTTGACACACATGTACATATCCTTGGAAACTCGTATCACGTAAGCAAGAATCAAATTAGGCAACTGTAACTAGTATGCGTTCTAGCTCAAAATGTATTGATTCCTTTACCGTGCATCATTTCTGTATATAATAGGTTTTAGTACCCAAACATTATTTCTAAAGGCCTAAGCCCGTAGTTGCAATTTCCACGCCACCAATATGAGCGCGACCCGATCCCTTCCCAAGGATGTAAACAATTCCAACATCGCTGCAAGAACAAATGATGTTCATCTAATGATCGTACCGAATGTTAAATCGTTTCCCCATCTTATGTGTAAACCCATTTTCACGATCGCAGATGCCGCTCGCTACAAGTTCGTGCAAACAGCCCCAAACTTCCTACTATCAAGCGGCTGTGGGAAGATGCCAGCATCGATCAACTGAAACGCATCCCATTCGGGCGCGCTCTCCGTCTTAAAATTCCACCAGATCCAGCCCTGGGTCAGCTTCTCGAAGGCCTCCATCTGCGCCTCGATGTATCCTCGCGTGTCGTCTTTGTAGGCTTGGGACCACTGCGAGAGATCGTTTACCCAATTGCAGGACCCGACGTATGAGGAGCCGGGGTAGGAGCCGTCATAGCGGGCGCCGATACCCCGGCCATTGAGATAGCGAGTGCAGTCTGTCATAGCGCCAGTCCATTCGCCTACGAATGTCCACTTGTCTGCACCGTTATAGGACTGGGCGTTGTTACAGGCGAGTTGGCGATGTTCCCAAGGCTGCATCTTTACCAGAGCATTGTCGAAAACTTGGTATTCGTGATGGTCGATTGCGACGTTTTGCGCGTTGTTATCAGATGGTGTGAGGAAGCCGTTCCAAGTATTTGGCGCCTTGAAGCCGTCATGGAGGATGACGGGGGTGTCAGACACATCTCGCGTTTGTCCGTAGCCATCTCGATAGAACTGTCGCACAACATCTTCGTTCAGCTTAGCTATTAGGGGCTCGTTGAGCAATTGGATGCCCACAATCACATCCTGATATTGTGGATTTGCGTATTTGTCTTGTATGGTCTTGAGCACCTGCAGGGTCTGCTTTACAGTGTCGCCGCTCTGCCACGCAGGGTTCGATATTCTTTGTCCAGAGTTGTCGTAACCGTTCTGCGACCCTGGTGCACCATGAAGATCGATTACTATCTTCAGGCCGAGACTCCTAGCCCAGTCGACAGCCGCATCGACGTAGACTGCTGCCCCTTGCACGTAGGGAGCACCAAAGGTATCATATGCCCAATACCCGATCGGTATGCGAACCAAGTTAAAACCTGACTGCTTGATCTTGTTGAAATCTTGCCATGTCGCCCAGCTATCCCAGTGCTTCCTTAATATGGCGAGTGCGGCATCGTGGCCGAGATATTGACCAAGGGTATATTCATCTACGATATCTGCACGACCGGTATTGTCAAAGACTGAGGGCGTGATCCAACTGCAGATAGATATTAGTCACCTATGCTATCTAATACATAAGAGCTTACTTACGGCTCTAGCACTAACCAACCCCCAATATTTACACCTCTTATTTTCTCAGTGCCCCAACCGAAAGCGACGCCGCGCTTCTCCCTATTCACTATTAGCTCAGGCTACTCTTCAAAATTGAAGTTATCCTAAAAGAATTCTTCGGAACGCGTATAGTATGAATTCCGTTGAACCCCAAAGAAAAAATGACTTACGTTGGAGCAGCGAAAGCAGTCCCAACCACCAGGACAGCCACAAGCACGCGTTTAAGCATGTCACAGTCGGATTTCAAAAGAAGAAGGCGGGCGTCAAAATGTAGTAACACTGTAACAATACAAGAATGAGAGAATAGGTTGCAAAAGAAAATAAACAAGTGACGAGCGCAACAGCAACGAGAGGAATTTTGGATAACCTGACCACGGTCCCTTACGTCGGGTAGATCAGCAAAAGCTGGAAAACAGAGCGGAATATAATGAGCGTCTGCACCAGAATTAAAATGGCAGGGGGTAACACCAAGGTAAGTCAGGCTTGCATGCAAGATCGGAGGCCGCGGTTGGCTTGGATCTAATTGTGGTTGGAAGAGAAGGCCGGGACTTAGATTAAAGCATGGATTGGAAGAATGTGCGCTGTAACTAAACGATGGCGACGTAGCTAAGTGGACGACGCGTCAACGAAAATCGAGAGTTTAGAATGAAAAGGAGAAAAGTACGACGCCAGAACTACTTTGTTTCTACATTTACGCAGCTACCATCTTCAACATGGCATCGTGTCGACTAGAATGGTGGGTCGACGAGCATGTCACCAGCCCCAAAACTCATGAGTGTCGGCTTTCGGGAATATCACATCATGCGATGGGCTGCGCTGCGCCTCCAGACCACGCTGGGCCGTCCTGTGGTGGATGGGGCAGATGGATGTGAAGTTTGCAGAATCAGGAGAAATGCCCGGCGGGATTGATGGTGCTAAGTGGTGCGGAACCCGGGATCTGAAACAGCTTGACCAGCTCGCGCGG